TCATCCGCAAACATTTGTATGGACGAATATACAGCTTCAGGCATGTCATTTATGAAGCAAACAAACAACAGCGGGCCCAATACATTGCCCTGTGGTACCCTGCTTGTGACTAGTACACATGATGATTTCGTGCCATTAATTATTCACCACACACACACACACACACACTGCTTGCGGTCATGGAGAAAGTCTCCGATCCACGCTAGGACATTTCCCCGAATCCCGTACCCCTTCCAGTTTAATTTTCAGCCTTTCGTGGGGTACTCTGTCGAAAGCCTTGGCAAAATCTAGGTAAATACTGTCGATATTACCACCCTGTTCCAGAATTTGGGTCCAAATATCCAGTACCTTGAGTAATTGTGTTAAGCAGGAGCACCCCAGCATAAAACTGTGTTGGCAATCATTTACAAAGTTGTTTCGTAGTATATGTTCCATCATGGCATCTCTTATAATGCTCTCAAGTACTTTACATACTATGCTGGTTAGGCTCACCTGTCTATAGTTGTTCGTGGAGTGACGCTCGCCCTTCTTGAAGTTAGGACTCACATAAGCCATTTTCCAATCACTGGGGACCTTTTGTTCATCCAGGCATTTACTGAACAGGATCTTCAGAGGCTCTGCAAGTACGTTGCACAACTCTCTTAGCACTCTGGGATGCACCATGTCAGGTCCGGGACTTTTATGAGCCTTTAGCTTTGACAGTTTATTTCTTATAACGTCTTGTGTGAACACAATGTGGGTCAGTGCTGTGTCGTACCATCTGTCCTCAAACACAGGAACATTGTTCGCATCCTCTCTTGTGAACACCAAGGAAAAGAAGCTGTTCAATGCCCCAGCTTTGTCCTGGTCAGAATCTGTGTAAGTACCATCTTCAAGCCCCAGGTCCGATACTCTTACTCTCGTTTTTAATTTTGACTTTGCATAGCGGTAAAGTGCCTTTGGGTTTGACTTTACCTCACCTGCAACTAGCCTCTGGAACTTATTTTCAGCCCTTCTACACTCTGACTTTGCTTGGTTCCTGGCTCTTGTGTACATCCTCCTGTCCTGCTTATGGTTTGACCAAACCCACGTCTTGAATTTCTGGGTTTTCTTCTCAACTTTGTCGACCGCCGCATGATTCATGTGTAGTGGTCTCCTTGTATTCCTAGTGGCACTGTTGAGCCCAGACCCGCATAATGTGCATCAGACTTCGCCCTGCAGTAATTGCATATCAACAAACTTCCTGGTGATGCTGAAGTTTTAGCCCCTGATTCCCTACACTTATTCATGTCTTGTCACAAACTTTCCTCTTCCTTTTACGTACTTACACCTGTGGGACACTTGGTGTTTGACAGCTGTCACTGTTGGGGAGGGGGGTGCAGACTCTAAGAATCTTCTTAGGCTTAAGCCCAGTTTACAAAGTGATATAATTCTAATCGTTGGCTTGATGATAACGATAATAATCTTTATTGTTACTATGATAATTTTTTCTCTGTCTTGGTGGCAGGGCTTTAGTGTCAAGGTCAGTGGCGTAGCTAGAGTGTGTGCCGCACGGGGCGGCCCTTGAGTTTGCCGCCGTGCCCCCACAAAAATACATATTGCACAGTGACTCACTCTTATATATATATATATATATATATATATATATATATATATATATATATATATATATATATATATATATATATATATATATATATATATATATATATATATATATATATATATTAAATAGTTTGTGTACCATTATAATATTACTGTACTTTCACATACTCAAATATAGTATGCTTTAAATACACACCAAACATACTTAAACTTTATAAGTAACAGTTAAACAAAAAGCAAAAACGACATATAGGATAGGGAAAAAAGTAAAAAAGTGTAAAAAATTAGGACCATCTTTATTTCTGAAATGAAAACTACAACTTTCTACAAAGTAACTTTTCTTGTTTTTTTGTTGGCAAATTCTTCAATGACATTGTCAAAAACTATTTCATCTGTCAATTGTCGCTCTATAGACAGTATGGCAAGATTTCTCAACCGCAAGGTGCTCATAGTAGATCTTAAGTAATTCTTGATCAGTTTTAGTTTCGAAAAACTCCTCTCACAGGTAGCAACACTAACAGCAATTGTGAGGAAAATCCTCAGCATTATTACTATATTTGGAACCGAGTTCCCAAGGTTATACTTTTGAATAAACTGCAAAAGTTCAAGGGGGCCTTCTTTCCACGTCTGTATTCTGTCTTTAATAGTTATAGCAGCAACAGCAACAAAATGCTGAAGTCTTTTTCTCTCAACGAGGAACTCCTCTTTATCAATGTCGTCGTGATCGTGATCTATTTGACACTCATATTTATCATCCAAAAGATTCAATGGGGTAAGGAAGGCATATTTCTCAGCAAGTTCATGAAGCTGTTGAAATCTCAAAGTTATTTCTTGGATCACTCTGTCTAGCGAAGAAAAAATTTCTCTCCTCAATTCAATGTCGCATGGCAATTCAGCATCTCGTGATCCTTCACCCAAAAGTGCCGCCCGGGGCGGACCGCCACCCCCGCCCCCCCTAGCTATGCTAGTGGTCAAGGTCTCTTTTAAGCCCCTGCTGTTGCATTCACATAGGCCTTTTTATCTAGTGAGTAGGGAAGGGGGCATGATGCCAAACACCGGACTTTCACACTTAATTTCTTCTGACTAAGAAATTTACCCCTAGCTGGGATGGCTTCCTTTATAATCACATCTACTAATTATAATCTAAGTGCACTAAGATGTGAGAGTGATCATGCCCTTGTGACAGACTATTATTATTAAAAAAATAAATCACTTGGCTGATCTGCTGGTCTTGATCTCGCTGGCACCCACGTTCATTCAGTGTTGCTGTCCAAGACAGTTCGACTAAATATTTTTTTGAGGGGGGGGTGTTCCAGTTCTCCTCGACAAGATTTTGGTATCTATGTGTTGTCACTATGTACACCGCATCTCGCTATGAATGGTGAATCATATGTACAATCACAATCCTTTAGAACACGCATAAAAAAATAAAACTTTCTTTGTGGTGGCAACAATGCTTTGAGACAGTTTGGCTTGTTATTTTTTTTTAACTATTATTCACTTTTGTTATCTTTTCCAGTTCTCTTCAACGAATTTATCTCTTGTGTATTATCACTATTGTGCACGTATATGATTTGATGCCCACAAAAATGTCAAATGATAAACAAGTTGAAAAGGGCTGGGAACAAACCTCTGATCTAAACATTCACCTTCTTATTACGATACAAACCCATTGTTCTGCTACCTACTCCACCCATGTGCTGATGTGTGTAGTGTAAGAGGTGTTAGCCTATTGAATAGCCTACATCTGGTGAAACTGTAACCACAGTGTACCAGTTGTTAACTTTTTTAGTTAATCATTCCAGTTGTTTGCTGTTTTTATCGGTTATACTGGATGTTATACTGTATATCTAATGTAGTGACACTGGAAATATTGCATCTTCAACCTTGGAATATATCCTCAAATCCAGTGCATATGGCCTCAAAATATCCCTGAATTGGTCAGATTTCAAGATATTTTCCTTGGGGCTTACAGTGCCCCTGGGACCCCTAGCTGTATGGGCTTGCTACACTCACCATTGTCCCACCCTCTTCTGAGTAACACTTTCAAAACACGTTCTCTCACTTCTTTATTTAGCACTACACCATATCATGTGAAAGACCTCAAAGCTGATTTTAACAAATGATAATTTGTATTTTTGTTGATGTCATATTGCAGAGACCTCTGATCCAATTCCATTTCCTTTGAGTGTAACTTAATACTTAACACTGAAGGTAAGCTAGGTTATCTTTAGAGTGTGACATAGTACAGTACACGGAAGGTAAGTTAGGTTATCTTTAGAGCGTAACATAGTACCGTACACTGAAGGTGTTTGCTCGCATGGATGGTGTTGAGAGAAGCACATAGAGGTTGTCTTAGTAGGTCTGGGTGCAGCCGAGTATTAGTTCCACGTGGTTGTACAGTACAAGTAACATATTTTGTCATGGTATATTTAACAAGTGATTTTCTAGTTATTTTGATGATGAAGTTATAATGCATTAATTTTCATTGTTTATAAAAGCAGCAAGACTAAAGTGCTTTCAAGTTGTGACACATTTTAATGTATACATTACAGTACAGTACTGTGGGGTACGTTTGTTTGGTTCACACTCAGGATGGGATGGAGAAAGGAAACTCACAATGTGCTCTCTGTATACATGTTGTATTGGATGTACAATGCAGCTTGGTGCTGGGAAGTGGCAGCGTGGTTACAAGCGTGATGTAGAGATAGCTGGTTGGTGAGGATGCTCAGAGGAGGACAGCTTGTGGGTCGCCATGCTCGCCGGTGGGAGCGAGGGCCGCCAGGCAGCAGCGGCGGAGGAGGTGGTGTTGCTGCTGCGGCTGTAGCTAGAAGAAGAGAGAGTGGTCACCACGAGGTCAGGTCTTAAATAGCGGAGGTAGGCGTGGCTTAGTAGTTGACCTCCGTCATGTAAGGCGGCGCTGGTTGACCTAGACCACGAGGCACACACTGTGGAATTCGCAGGGTCGGCTACTCAGCGACAAACAGCGTTTGCAGGGGAGAAATCCACTACAGTACTACATCAGATTTCAGCAGATGTTGCACTGGCCTACAATATACAGTCTCATTCAAGATTCTTCGAACACTGCTGGAGACAGCTGGCAACTCAAGGCCGTTTGTTTACTATAGTATGTAGTAAAATTTATGAGTGAATATAAAAGTGATCAGTAGTTGGTTACTTAGTTCCCCGTTGCTTAATTTGATGGATGGGCTTTGTTGTTTCGTATTATATTATTCTACGTACTATAGTAAACAAACGGCCTTGAGTTGCCAGCTGTCTCCAGCAGTGTTCGAAGAATCTTGAATGAGACTGTACGTGTTTCTTTCGAAACTCATAAATCCTTTATTTTTTTAATAAGTGTACTGTATTGTCGACATTAATAATAATAGTAATACTTGTGATGTGCATGTGTCTAGGAACAAGATATTATGGATGGAGGACGGTACAAGGTAAAGACCGAGAGAGGATCCACCAGCCTCACCATCTGTGATGTGGTGTCGGACGACTGTGACAAGTACACTATTATAGTGAGGAACTCCCTCGCAGAACACGCAGCCTTTGCCTCTCTTGCTGTTGGAAGTAAGTGTTTATGGATATTGAGAAATTGAAAAGCTCGCATGACATAGATGTTGTAGCCCTTGTGGTGAAATATCTAAATTCAGTTGATAGGGATTAAGAAGGATTAATGCAGTTGATATATATTAGTCACTGTACTATTTTATTGCCTATTATTAGTGTAAAGATTTTATTCTTGAGCGCCTTAGGTCAGGTACACCTGCCATCATGTCAACAGTTGTATAGGAAAATTAAGAACACTGTATAATTGTAGTATGATTGTATATGGTTAAGGGTATTTGTATATGGTTAGGGTTATTTGCATCTACAATTTTTGATTGTTTGCATACAGTCTTGCAAGCCATCACCCCAGTGGTTAATGTCTATTATTTGTGTTCTAATAAAATCAATGTATTTACCTGGGATTGCTTCCTTGATTTGTTTTATCACAGGTGCTCCTGAGCCTCCAGCAGCCAAACCCAACCACAGTGAGGTGACAGCCGACTCGATCACTTTGTCTTGGTATGGTCCCACTTTTGATGGCGGCTCAGTGGTGACGGGGTACACGGTGGAGGCACGAAAGGCTGGCAGCGACGACTGGTACACTCTTATCAGCGGGTTAGTCACTATTCCACTGGTGTCTGTCTTTGTGCAGTATATTTTATTCTATTCATTGCAAAGCATTAACCTTCAACCTCTTAACTCCTTTGTATGGGGGATATCTCTGGGTTGAATAGAATCTTCTGGTATTAGCCAAATAGCTAAAATATTAAAAGTGGGGTCTCACAGTGAAGGGGTTAGGAAGAAGGCTTTCTATATCCTGAAGAATTCTCTGTTTATTTAATACAATAGATGTTTAAGGATTTTTATGTTTGAGATAAAACTTAGTTCATTTAATAGTTCCCTGAAGCATTTTTAAAGGCACATATTGAAGCCTATTAGTATTATTTTTAATTTTTGATACTCTTTTGCAATTAAGCATGCTCATGATATGTCTTACAGGTGCCACTCGACCTCGTACATTGCCAGGGGCCTTGAGAAGAACTGTCAGTATGAGTTCCGAGTACGTGCCCAGAATGTACACGGACTGTCAGAGCCATCAAAACCCTCCACACCAGTCACCACCGCTGATCCTGTGGACAAAGAGGAGGAACCTGAGCCTGAAGGTAATATTCCACTGCTCTCCTACAGTGCCCCTTATTGCTGCTGTTGATTGTATCCAACAGTATTGCATATGGAAATAAGACAAAAAAATTGTTATCACAAAATTCTCACTTTAGTGTAAAGTATATCTTTGATGGCCTGTTGCCTCTTATGATGTGAGAGGTGGTCAATAGTCATTTCTGAAAACGTCTCCAAACATTTCAAAGACTAAAAATATTTATGATTTTTTTTAAAGGTATTCCAAGGAATCAATTTCCTGGTGCCCATTCATTTTTGTTAAGAGAAGTGACCATTGATATACAGTACTGTAAATTGCTACAATAAACACACTTTACAGATCATGAGACAGCATTTGCACCCCTGAATGTTGAAATTGAGCCTGGAAGTCTATTCGACAAGCAGTACAGCTTACACGAGGAAGTGGGGAAAGGTCGCTTTGGTATAGTGTATAGAGTGACAGAGAAGAACTCTGGGGTGAGAAGAGCTGCAAAGATCATCAAGTGCATAGTTGCCAAAGATAAAGAAAAGGTAAATTTTGAATTGTATTGATTTTTTGCTTTATTTTAACTTATAACTAACATTGAAGCCAAAACTCTTGATACTCTATATGTAATGTTGATATCTACAGTTCACCCATAAGGGGTAAGAGGTTATTTTAGGAATGCCTGTATGTGTAAAGAAGACATTTATATTGTGTCTTTGGGACTCAATATTGGTATCATGATGACTTTGAATGCCTAAGCTTAAACAAGAATAAAATCTCAGGAGTTATTGAGAGATCTCCCTCACACACCTAAACTGTTACTCTTAAGACACACTATAAACTTAACACATACTCCCACAGGTCCCCCCAAAAAGGTATTGTGCCACATATTTAATACCAAAATGATTTATTTGGATTAACTAGAACACTACCTACACCAAATTTCTCAAAATTTTTATTCTGATGAGCACCAAATTTTTTTTCGATGGTGTGCTCAATAACTGTCAGTAAAAAGTTATAACACGATGTGCTAAATCTAGAAACCCTGACCTATACTGTGATCACCCATACAGGTTCGCGAGGAAATTGACATCATGAATTCACTTCGGCATCCCAAACTCCTTCAGCTCGGAGCTGCATATGAACGACAGAGAGAGATGGTTATGGTCATGGAGTAGTAAGTTCTCAGTTCATTTATTAATTTGATTAAATATGTTCATAATACAGTACTGTATCATATTATATTCATAATACTGGACTGTGTATCTTATCAGACCAACAGAACTAACATTGTTCTTATTTATGTAGCAAATTAAATTAATTGAGCTAAATCGTCCTTATAAACAAAAATTTTGAGAATTATTTTAATATCTAATATTAGCTTTATTAAGTAATGATCACTTCACCTTGACTTGTTACATCCTCACTGCAGCTACCACTTTTTTTTTAGTTTTTCTTTAGTAAGGATCTAATACTGTATACAACATATACAACCATATGCTTTGTACAGTAGAATCCCAGTTATCCGGTATCCAGGCAGGCTACCAGTAGATTCAACTAACAGGCACCAAAATGAAATAATAACAATAAAAACAAAAATTCCTCCAAAATCAGCTCCTATCATAAGTTTGAATACCATCTGCAACAGGGATGAGCTGCCAAATTGATTGTTATGATAAACATTAAAATTGATTCATAGCATTACGTTAAATACAATAGAAAAATTTTTTATGTTAAAAAAATGCCTCATTCAACACTCAAACCATCCTCTGGGCGATGCGACCCACTTTAGCCAAACAGTCAACCAGCTGACTCAGACACGTGGCTACCACATCAGGAGGGAACACAGCCACACAGTTATAACCCACCGCCTCCACACACATCCATCCCCACACTCTTCATTTTCTTATTTTATAGTTTTAAATTATACTTTCTTTATTTCTAAGCCACATTAGAGTATTGTAATGATTTTTCCACAACTTTTATAGTTTCATTACAAGTAACAGTACTGTATAAGAAGCTGGCGAGTCGACCATGAAGTTATAGCGAAGGCGTTGGCTAACTGCCTTCACACACGTTCACTTTCTTGTTTTATATTTTCTTTATTTTCCACAATTTTTATAGTTTCATTACACGTAACAGTAAATGCAGTGGCTGGGCTGACAGTGACAGGTCATCACAGTTCACTTCTTACACATACACATCCTTGTTCTTCATTTTTCTTATGTTACAGTTTTATATCATATTTTCTTTATTTCTAAGCCACATCATTTATAAAGAGTGAAATAAATGTTAAAGAAGTCTGTTTTTCTGAGACGAATTTGTGAGGTCTGCCTGTAGCAATATGCATTGTAGGATTTATTGGGGATCCTAAGAGTGATTTTCACCTTACCGGAAAAACTGTTTATCCGGCACCTCTCAATCTCTGAAGATGTCTGATAGCCGGGACTCTACTGTACCATTATTAGCTTCCTTGCTTAAGTGTTTGGCTAACTTTGTTTGCAGAGTCAACACTGTTTTTTTTTCCATATTCTTTTTGCTCCTGAAAGATTAAAAATAAAGTAGTAGCTTTACTTTTAAAGAAGTCAGGGATAAGTGTATAATTATTCAGTAAATAATTTTGTTGGCATTGGTGATATTATGGCACTAGATCTGTTTACTTACAATCTTATATAATCATTGTACAGTATACTTCAGTAGTAGTTGTGTTACAAATATTAATTGTTTTTTTTTTTCATTTAGAGAACTAACATAATAAGATTTTTAGTTTCTCAACTTCGCCCATCTCAACTATTGAAGATAAAAGGGGCAGTAAACCTTTCAAAACTATTTCCTTTTTTCTTAAATCTTTTTAAGTGGAAAAGTTATTCATATTTGCGTAATGTTTGGATCTCTTGAAGACTAGAAACCCCTACTTTTTTCATCTGATGATTAAACACTGTAATACTATCATATCATCAGACAAAATAGAGGTTTTCCAAATCTTCATGAGGTCCTAATATGTTACAATGATTAATCTAATGTTCGTCGTTGCAGTATATCTGGAGGTGAACTATTTGAGCGTGTTGTGGCAGATGACTTTGCCCTCACTGAGCGAGACTGTATCCTCTTCGTCAGGCAGATCTGTGAGGGGGTCCAGTACATGCATAAAAGTCTCATTGTACATCTTGATCTAAAGGTACGTTACAAAAGATGTTTCTTGTCTTTTGTATTGTTGCAGGCTATACCTTGGGTATTTATGTGTACGGTTGGCTTGACAGGAGGAAGCATAAAACTAGTACTGTGTGGTATAATTAGGTGGAATTTCATGAGAGAGAAAAGATTATTTATTGATGAAAATTACGTGGCTGTGTATGGTACATATAGGACACATTTACATAAATGTTGATAAGAGGATATAAGTTAGATAAAAACCACCACAGCAAAATACCTAAATCAAAGGTAAAACTCTCTACCAAACAATAATTGTATGAAGGGTACATGATACAGTTTAAGTTACAAGTGAAATGAATTAAGTTAGGACATAATATATGGGATACTGTACACGAGTTCCTGAGTCTGGCACCACAGCAGAAGGTTTGAAAGCGACATAGATGTACCAAGGGGGGGATGGGGCAATGGCAATCGTCTCCATTGAACTAATAAAATATTCCAAATAAACTATTTTTAACAATAAGAAAATAAAAAATAATAAAAAACAAAATAAATAAATATACAGTACTGTAATAGCATCACTAATTGAATGGTAAGCACATCATGAACGTAAAGAAAAATATTAATTATTCCGTATTTCATACGGCAAATTTCACACAAAGGTACAGTACTCTTTTTACATATTCATGAAGGATCTGGGTTCATAATTTAAAATTTGGGGTAATTAGTATTAATTAATGACCCTTGCTATAAAAAGTGCATTTAGAATAATTTAAATGTCAATTATGTTGTGCCCATAAGTTTCCAATCCCCCCTTATACAGGAGGGTCATTCAGTAAGTAATGGGACTTTTTGATATAGGTGGAAAAGGGGAGGGGCAAGTGCAGCGATCATGTTACAACATGTTTAGACATGCTTAAGTTACATCTTCATGTTTGTTTAGTCAGTTCATTCAATTAGTCACGAGTTAACCTTGCATTAATGATGAGTGGCGGGATTTTTGTACAGGAATACCTCATTATTCACAACCTGGCTTATCCGCAAGTGATGATTTTACACCCTTATTCAGTATTCGCAAAGCATTACCCCGCTTATTCGCAAATGAAAAAATTACAATACCCTCCAGTAATATTTCATACTGGGTGGGCTAGCTGCTGCACGGCTCTCTATTCTGAAATAATGTCCATTTCACACAAGCTCGTGTGAAGTAGGCCTAAGTAAAGCTCTTGCGTATTGAACATACGTGTGTGGACTTCACAGGTCGCCAACCACCATCGCTACATCACCTTAACTCTACCCCGACTGGGCCAACCTTTGATAGGCGTTGTTGTTACTTTTCAACTCAAATTTCAGAGTAGATGTTACAGTACGTATTTTTATTAATTTTTTTTACTGTTACATGCACACACAATTGTTTATACAGAAAGTGAAAATAATAAAATAAATTATCACCGTAAGGTCAAAAACATCGGGATAAAAGCAAGCAAAATTCATTGCAGAATATCATTCCAATATGGAAGCAATTGCATCAGTCGAGTGAACATTTACAACTGGGTTGAACAATTCAAGAATGGGTCGAACAAGCATTGTAGACAAAGAGCGTACCGGATGACCTGTTGAAGTTTCAACACCCACTGGAGCAGGTTCAAGTACATTCAGGAGCCGGTACATGCCCAGTACTTGCCTACAGTGTGTAACAGAGACGTGATTGATCGCTCAAGCGGCTAACGAGCCGATCAGTGGTGAAGAGGATAAAAACAAAAACAAAAAAAACATTGCACCAGAACATTGAGCGGAAAATTTTGGGAACTGACGCGTTACAAATAACAAATTGCGACAGATTTGAATGCCAGTGGTGGTATAGTACACAACGTCATTCCTGATGTTCTCAAGCATTTTTGGAATAATGAAGAGGTGAAGAGAGAAATTTGAAATTGATTACGAAGTCAGCCGAAAGAATTTTTTGCCACAGGAAAAAAAAAACTTGTAGAAAGATGGGACAAGTGCATAGCTGTAGAGGGAGATTATGTGGAAAAATAGGTATGTGATCATTAATAATGCATCATTACTTCTGCAGTTATATTCATTTGTCTCGTTAATTTATTGAATGACCTCGTATATTTTCTCAAGACTAACTTTACCATTTAAGCACAATAGTTTTCACTTTCCAGAACAAAAGTCGTAAATCACCTCAAAAACACCTTACCAAAAAAACCTTCCATTTCGGCAATTGAGGTTATGATGTAGGTGTTGTTCAAATTTCATACAAAGGTACAGTACTGTTTTACATGCTGATGAAGGATCTGGGTTCATAATTTAAAAATTTGAGTAATTAGTGTTAATTATTGACCCTTGCAATAAAAAAAACCTTTAGAATATTTAAAATGTCAATTATGCTGTGCCCTTAAGTTTTAAATCCCCCTTTTATATATTTTCTCAAGATTATAGACATAAAAACTTAAGAATGGAGGAAACTGCAGCAGGCCTATTGGCCCATACAGTACTGGGCAGTCCCATTTACACCTAACCCATATCGCTCGTATATCCATCCAACCTTGATTCAATTTACTAGTTAAGTATGTTAGTTTTTACTTTACAGAAAAAAAATCAGAAGTCACCATTGAAAACGCCTGACCTAACACCTTGTGTTTCGGTAGGTGAGGTCATGACAATGAGATAGATTTTGTTCAAATTTCATACAAATCTACAGTACTCTTTTACATGCTGATGAAGGATCTGGGTTCTTAATTAATTTTTGACTAATAAGTCTCAATTAATGACCCTTGCAATAAAAAACATCTTTAGAGTACAGTAAGATCTTGTATTTCGTGAGTACTATAGACTGGAAAATTGCGCCAAATTCAAATTCGCCAAATGCAAATACATAAATTAATGGGAAAAATAAAAATTTAGACTGGCCACTCTACATCAACCTCTGATTTTCCCATTTATAACTTCCAAATGATACAAATTCTGCCTTTATTGACCTGATTGTGCTTTCCGGAAACTAGTTTTTAGGCCTTCCTCAAGTAATTTAATCACACGCTGCTTATCCTGCATCAAATACTTGGCAAACTTAACTCACTTGTGATAGTCCCGCTTCTCCTTTTTCTTATTTGGCCGCTAAGGTGGGTCTGTCCCACCCCCACCAGCAGCAGTAGGACCCCCAGTAGAGGTAGAGGCCATTATCTTGATTCGACAGGTGGTAGTGTAATGGGCCGAGTTCTTTCATTTTATATCCCACCTAAGCTGCCACTATTTGTAATGGGACGTTTTTCTTTACTTCATATTTTATCATTCAGATATTCTTTTCTGTTATTATTCTTCAATTCTTTATCTATATATACCTTATATTCTTGCTTATATTCTTATATAAGTAATTCTGATATTTCTCTTCTTTTAGTTCCAAATCTTTCATTTCTTTTCATATAATGTATATTATATTTTCTGTTTTATTTTATTCTCAACCATGCGGCGGTCGACAAAATTAAGAAGAATACCCAGAAATTCAAGACGTGGGTTGGGTCAAACGATGAGCAAGACAGGAGGATGTATGCAAGAGCCAGAAACCAAGCAAAGATAGAGTGTAGGAGGGCTGAAAAGGAGTTCCAGAGGCTGGTTGCACGCGAGGTCAAGTCAAACCCAAAGGCGTTTTACTGCTATGCAAAGTCGAAATTGAAAACGTGAGTAGGAGTATCAGACCTGAGGCTTGAAGATGGTAGTTACGCAGATTCTGACCAGGATAAAGCTGAGGCATTGAACAGCTTCTTTTCCTCAGTGTTCACAAGAGAGGCTGCAACTAACCTTCCTGCGTTTGAGGACAGACGGTTCGACACAGCACTGACCCACATTGTGTTCACAGAAGAGGGTATTAGAAATAAACTGTCCAGGCTAAAGGTCCATAAGAGTCCCGGACCTGACATGGTGCATCCTAGAGTGCTAAGAGAGCTGTGCAACGAGCTTGCAGAGCCCCTGAAGATCCTGTTTTGTAAATGCCTGGATGAACAAATGGTCCCCAGTGAATGGAAAGTGGCTTATGTGAGTCCTATCTTCAAGAAGGGCGATAGTCACTCCACGAACAACTATAGACCGGTGAGCCTGACCAGCATAATATGTAAAGTACTTGAGAGTATTATCAGAGATGCCGCGATGGAACATCTACTACGAAACAACCTTGTAAAAGATTGCCAACACGGTTTTATGCCGGGGCGCTCTTGCTTAACACAATTGCTCAAGGTATTGGATATTTGGACCCATATTCTGGAACGGGGTGGTAATATCGACAATATTTACCTAGATTTTGCCAAGGCTTTCGACAGTGTACCCCACGAAAGGCTGAAAATCAAACTGGAAGGGTACGGAATTCGGGGAAATGTCCTAGCGTGGATAGAAGACTTTCTACATGACCGCAAGCAGTGTGTGGTGATTAATGGCACGAAATCGTCATCTGTACCTGTAACAAGTGGGGTACCACAGGGCAGTGTATTGGGCCCGCTGTTGTTTGTTTGTTTCATAAATGACATGCCTGACGTTGTACACTCCTCCATACAAATGTTTGCCGATGATGGCAAGTTATTTCGGGAAATTAAGAACCAAGCGGACTGTGAAGAGCTGCAGAAGGACCTCTGTGGGCTCCAGGAATGGTCGAAGAAATGGCTGCTGAGATTCAATGTCACGAAGTGTAAGAGGATGCACCTGGGGCGTACCAACGGTAAGGAGGCGTATCATATGTCCCAACGGGATGAAGAAAATGCACTAGTTGAGACTGTGTGTGAGAAGGACCTAGGTGTGTATGTTGACAATGAGCTGAAGTTCTCGGGCCATTGTGAGAAGAAGGTAAATCAGGCAAATAAATTATTGGGTCTTATAAGAAGGTCGTTCAGATATCTAGACGGTCCGTCCCTCGTGACGATCTTCAGGAGTGAAGTGCTTCCCCATCTGGAGTACTGTCACCCCATCTGGTCCCCGAGATATGCTAGGGACTGTCAGTTGGTTGAAAATGTTCAAAGGAGGGCCACCAGACTGGTGCCTGCACTTCGGCACCTCAGCTACCCTGAGAGATTGGAGCGCCTGAACTTGCCTAGCTTATACTACAGACGGGCAAGGGGGGACCTAGTTGAGGTGTATAAGCATCTCAGGGGGCACTACTCAGTTGAGTGTCCTTAATTGGAGCTGGCGGACGCTCGCCCCACAAGGGGTCACAGCTCAAGATTGAAGAAGCCGCAAGTCCAGAAAACCGTGAGGGCAAACTTTTTCGGAGTGAGGGTTGTAAACTCTTGGAACAATCTACCAGAGAGTTTTGTGACGGCACCGAGTGTGAGCTCTTTCAAGAGAAGACTTGACCAACACTGGAGCGGGTTCAGGTACATTCAGGAGCCGGTGCATGCCCAGTATTTGCCAACAGTGCGTGACAGAGACGTGACCGATCGCCCAAGCGGCTAACAAGCCGATCAGTGGCGAAGAGGATAAAAGTAAAGTAAAAGGTGCATGCCCAGTACTTGCCAACAGTGCGGAACAGAGACGTGACCGATCGCCCAAGCGGCTAACGAGCCGATCAGTGGTGAAGACGATAAAAGTAAAAAAAGTGAAAAGTATACTTACAGCGGTAGCCTGCCACCACCCAGACTTTTATTAGAATATAACATATCTCGGGGAAAGCTTTTGGGTAGTGTGGTACAGTGTTTATAGACCGGTGAGTAAGTATTATTTTCTGGAAACCAATGTTTAGAAGGAATAGAGTGGTGATACTCGTAAATTACTAATTCAATATTTATTAACACAGAGAGTGAACAAGATGTTACTTAAATTCACTCAGACAAGACTGGACTCTCAGGTCTTACTGTACCAATCAAAAGATAGTCCAGCAATCCATCATTAACCATCTATTAAGTTTATTCAGACAAGACTGGACCCTCAGGTCTTACCTTTATAAGTAACAAATTACATCTTCAATTCTTGGTTACAACATTTAACAATCATTATATTATCCCATTGTCACTACAGGTGGTTATATGACACTTGACAATATCCTAAATCAACTTATAACATCACGTTCAATCGGCATGAACAACATGGTACTTTTCCTTCAGTTCATGTACTCAACTCACATAGCATATTTCCTGGTACTATTAATTGTTATGGGTTCACTACTTTACCTGGGATTTCCATTTCTCTGTTAGTTAATCCCTCATTCAAGATACAATAATACTTAGGCCCATGTAACTGTGAGGAGTGCCCCAGGGTATATATCCCGGGTGTCTCCATAACAAATGAAGATTGCTGTTAGGGGTCGGTTGTAGACCGACACATGCCCAGGGAGCTTGGGCCTAATTTGCAGGATACGGATTTCACAGTTTGATCCTGTGGAATTAATGACATCGTCCAATACGGCTACCGATCCACGGTAGCCGATGGGTATTCAGCTCCCACACTGACCTGGAGATGCGTTGAGGAGAAATCACAAGAGAGTGAATGTTTAACTTCAACTATACAAAACATACATCTGGCAACGGTACAGACTATATCTACTGTACGTTACTCGACTTATTTGGCACAGAATATTACTATGTTAAAACATGAACACTGATATTCACAAAAATCAATTAAGTTAAACTGAATTAACAAGACGGCGAGAAACAATCATTCACATACAGTACTTGGAGATGCGTCAAGGAGAAATCACAAGTGTGATTTTTCTCCATTCATTCGTATATATGTGAGACTGGGGACATATCCCTACCAGAAAGACTAATCTTACTAACAACAGACCTTCTATTCAAAGTGGTCGCTGGGCACCTAGCTGTGACCGTCAGTGTCACAGGTCAGGCTAATTTTCTACGTCTATCTTTATGATCTAATCAGAGATTGGGTTTGTCAGGAAAGAGGTGAAATGGAGTTACATACGCACTAACAACTCTACTTGCCCGACCGCGGACCACATTCCAGGTCAAAACAGCCGTTAAGTCTTGGAGATTTTGAGTTTGACAGAATCTGTTCAGTAGATTAATAACTTTCTAAAATAGACAACTGACACTAACTAAACTACAAACATCAGATTCCCTGATGTTTGGGCGACAAAATAATGTAACTTCAGTAGCGATCAGAAATTCAGGATATCCCCATGAACGACATAAAATATGCCACTCAACTGACAAACTTGACACTCACTTACTTGACAAGTTTTACTAACAATAAGGACAGTTGAAGCTTTCAACTTCACTCACAATGGATTTTGAATGTTCCAACTGTAAACAGTTGCAATTTCAAGTTCTGTCATTACTAAGGAATAATGAAGTCTCTGGTGCATTCTAAGATTGAGAGAAAACGGAGGACTCAGGCGTCCTGAAGCGATGAGAAAACGGGCTCCTCAGATGGGGAACTCCAATAAGAAAGCATAGCTACATGTTTTGTGGGCTATTGAGCATAATATGAATCGTCTGATTTTATGTTAATTGACGTGTATAACCGTGGTCATTACAGTAGCACCACCCAAAAAGCACACAATATCAGCCCGGGCGGTCTCTAGGATGGTGCGGGCTACAACGCGATAGTTGCATTCTTGTAAACCTCTTTTACGTTCACCACCGGCAATTCGATCACCAGAATGCTTCTTGGAGACATTCTTCTTACCTTGTCTTTCCGTATTCATCGCTACCGCAACAAAATTGGAGAAAATAGCGAAAATCACAGAGTAATTGACAGAATCTGCACGATTCAACTGATCACGTGATTTAAACAGAGAGTGCTTGTGTAAACCATTATTAGTCCTCACTCTGAAAATTTTTTTTTACTTATTCTTTTCATATATTTATGGTTAAAGGCTAAATTTGCCCCCCAAAAAGAAATTGAGTACCTCTCATAAAACACTTCACAAACAAAAGACACGAATCAATTGAACATGTGATGTCGAACATGAACTGTAAACATTGCATAACCCCGCGCCACGCTTAAAACGTTGAGGATGGAATCAAAACATTGAGGTTGGAATCGTGCTATAGCCAACATTCGTATGCAAAAGTTTGCGTTTTACAAACAGCATTCCCTTATTCATCAATCACATTGCAACCAATTCGCGTTGGCAAAACAGCGCGTTGTAGCAGAAATGACTGTAACTGGTATGAGAGCTGTGATGTCATTCAAGACAGTGGCCAGCATTCAGCTTGCTGGATCTCGCATTCAGTTGGTTGGATCTCGCGAAATTCACGATATTTTATGCCAAATATATGACTCGGTTGCATTAGGAAGTGCTCGCGAAATTCAAAAACGTGAAATGAAATTGCACGAAATATGAGATCTTACTGTACTTAAAACATCTATTATGATGTCCCCATAAGTTTTAAATCCCCTTTACAGCCCTGTATATATTTTCTCAAGAATATAGACTAATTATTATCATTTAAGCACCTTGTTCCATATCTAAAGCTTCATGTCCAGCTGCTGATAGAACCTTAAAGAAGGTGTTCACTTTGTTGTTGAAGAACAATTTGGCACACAATAATTTACTTTTGGCATTTTAGAGATAAATGACTGAATCGATCCCGAATTTTTCCCAAAATGCATTGTGGTAAACAACTAGTGACACAGTTGTGGGATGCAGCTATTGAATGCATTTTATGGCCTCTCCTCACATCTAGATTTCAGACAAAGATTATCTTACATTTTTTGTGTGTCTAAGAGTTTTACTGTAATAGGGGATTTTTAATTCGACACCAATGCAGTAAAATGTCTATAATTGCCAAAATTCTTACCCAACAGCCGGAGAACATCTTGTGTGTACGTCGGACATCCCATCAGATCAAGCTCATCGACTTTGGCCTTGCTCGCCGATTTAATCCACAAGACCCATGCCGTGTCCTCTTCGGAACACCAGAATTTATTGCCCCAGAAATTATTAACTATGAACCAATTGGGTTTGCATCAGACATGTGGTCTGTAGGAGTGATATGTTATGTTTTGTAAGTATGACTTGTGGTATATTGTGTAACATCTCTGAAAATAAACTCATGTTTAAATAATGAATGACTGTAGTGACCTCGGGCAGGATTCACTCACATGTTTATGCTTCATCAGCTGGCATGGGTATCTTGTGATTGGTTAATATTCCTGTAGAGTGTTTTGTTCTGGGCACTGATTGTTTTAGTGATGAATCAAAAGGTATGTGCTACAACTCTCTGTGGAAGTAGCTCACTGAACTAAATTTACTAGTGGTCGCCATACGAACCATTATTGATAGTAACTGAGGTTACAAAAAAGGAAAGATTTGATCTAAGGAAAACTTGAGTTGTCTTACCAAATATAGATGGCAAATTAGGAATAATGCTCTTCACACACCTAATGTACTGTGTGATATTGCATAAATGAGGAATGGTATTGTAGAAATGATGCTCATTGCACACCTGATGCAATGCATGATATTGCAGATATGAGAAATGATCCTTGTCCCACAGCTGATGCAGTGTGTGATGTTACAAAAACTGTCCGATCTAGCCAAGGCGTTTCATTAGTCATTGTAGATTAAATGTTTTAATTATAATAATGTCATGTATTTTTTATTATTTCTTTTCTTTCATATTTAATTTTTTTCTTTTGTTACAAGTTGGATTTGGCTTCTAATAACTACCGTATCTGATAGCTAGTATATTTTTAGTTACATATTAGCAGGAAAAACTTTTCTGGTCACGATACGTTTGTTTTCTTAAATCTGAGAAAATAGAAGATATGCTTATTGTTTTTATTACTTTTTCTTTTACATATATAGTTTCTTCTGTTTTAGTTATAGTATATATATTTATTTTAATTGTGGTAATTTATTTTTTTGTTGTAGGTCGTATAGTAGAGAAAACATGAGTTACGTGACCTTATTTCTGTTTTGGGGAAGGTTAAGGTTGCTTGGACCCCACCATAGCCTTTGATGTATGATAAGTTTAGTTAAGGGTACTGGGGTACTGTAAGTTATTAGTGAATGACCTGTTCAGCTTGCAGGTTGACTGTCGGGACTAAAGGTGATTGTAAGTTGTTAGTGGATCTTGCCCCCGCTGGTTAGATTTATTGCATGTCATTGAAAATCTCAAGTATTTGGTAAACGATTGCTGGTGGAAAGATATTTTTTGTTTATGTAAATTTATCACTCCTATCTATCTCCAACTGTAGGTTATCTGGTCTGTCCCCCTTCATGGGTGACACCGATGCCGAGACCTTCAACAACATAACTCGTGCGGAGTTCGACTTTGATGATGATGCATTTAGTGCCATTACTGAAGACGCCAAAGATTTTATTATGTCTCTGCTAATCAAACGAAAAGAGTATGTTTGTTTTATTTGTTGTGCAAATTTATTTCAAATATAATTTTCTTAATATTGTTTTTTATGCATATTTGTGTAAAGTTTTGAGAGTATTGTGTTTGTTCACAATATTGAACAACTTGATATTAATAAACCTACAGGAAGCGGCTAACAGCAGCAGAATGTTTCGAGCATCCTTGGTTAGCACAGACTGAGGAAGATATGAACAAAGTTGTCCTTTCCACTGACAAACTGAAGAAATTCATCATAAGACGGAAGTGGCAGGTCTGTATAATAATAGCTAACATGTGTGTTTGCTTGACCTTATAATAGATTAGAGAAATGATTGCTACTTTTTTCTAACTGAGGATTGTAAACTTAAATAATAATATAGTTCATTAGAGTGGTTTTGTATTTTGTTTGCCAAGCTAAAACTGTTTTGTACTGACACATCAAGGAAAGACCATTAATGTGTTAAGGTATTTTTGTATTTAATACCATTTGTTTTTTGGGTTTTTTAATTAGTTTTTAATATTTTCTGTTTCAATTAGCAAGGATACTTGACACTAAATCATTTAATCAGTAATCCTAACTGCATGGTTTGATATTTTCTTTGCACTTATAGAAAACTGGAAATGCTATCCGTGCAATTGGACGTATGGCCAACCTCACCAACCGCCGCAGCTCACAACCCTCATCGCCAACCCGACTCTCCCCCCTCCCAGAAAACCATGCCCACACTCCTGTGTCCCCCTCCTCCCCCTCCCCTTCCAACTCCCCAACCATTGTCTCAAAGCCCAAGGGGTGTGCTCCTGTAACTCGCCCCTCCACCAGCATGGTCAGCGAGAGGAGCGACTCTGGTATCAGTGAATGTTCTTTTAGTATTGAAGAAAATAACCAAAATCAATGTAATACCAGTAATCAATTTGGCATAACAAATGGTCGTGCTGTTACAGGGCGCAATGTTCTCAAAAGTGGAAAGACACCGCCTTTAGACTGGCAGTCTTCGGTCGATTCTGCCGTCTGTGATGACGACTACTTCAGCAAGAACAGTTACGGATCTTCTGCCAGAAAGATATCCAACGAGTCTCTTATCCAGGCCAAGACTGACACCCTCATGCATGCCCATTCAAGAATATAAGTAAAACAGTGTATAGAACAAAATTCTGATTAATGAAATTATTCCTATATAAAGAATTTATATGTACATATGATACAGAAAAGGACTGTTTAGCATTAGCTTGTTTACCTCTTCTGAATCTTAGTAAGGGCCCTTGTAATATAAATATAATTTTATTGAGGACTACTGTGAAGGACGTGTATTTCTCTTGTGTTGATAAAAAGTAATGGCCAACAAGGAAGGAGTTTATATTTGTTCTCTTGCCTGCTGGCCTTGCAGTACAGGATATCTGCAGTTACTGTTATTTGTCTACCCAATCCATGTCCTCATACATGGAGCCGATTAGACGTCTTTAAGACGAGGTTATGAATATTCGACTTAAACTTGATGTGTCTACCGATAACGACCTCTGAACTATGTCTCTTAGTGTGACATGTGATTAAGAGGATTTATGTACAGTCGAAATCCCAATGTCGACCAGCCACAATGGACTCGTGAGAGGGCTGATGATGTGTCTGAATTATACTTTGTATGTGAATAATATAGTGCTGTATCACAAGCAAGTCATGGAAGAATGTAACAAAGCGTGTTTAATATATTTGTCGTGACAGTTGGGTTTACAGGAGCGTGCCTGAAATTTGCTTCTGATAAACCTTATTGTCACATGAGTTTGTTTAACTTTGCTGAAAACCCTATGATTTTTTTTGTTAGTTCTCTTTAATTGTGTGTTTACACAGTGCCACAATATTCTATTTTTCTCAGTGCAGTGCCAAACAAATTGTACAGCTGATATATGTAGATGGTTTGCCTGATATCATTCCACGTAACTCACTCTCCTTTCTTGCATCATAATTGAACTGACAACTTGTCACTCATTTTCCTTTGCATTGTCATGTTATTTTTATTATGAATGTTCCTCCATAAAATGTTTGAATCTTCACTGTTTGTTTAATTTTATGGTATGTGTTTAATCTTACTTGAAGTTACCTGTATCAGATATTTAAAATCGCAGTGCCTTAATATTGCCGAATTAAGATAGGCTGTCTTGTTATATCAGTAGGTCACTGTACATTTGTGGCTTTGCTTACAAAGGACTTTCAGCAGCCTGACTTTTATAGTAAACTCACTTGGGTTGAGTTTAAGATCTTACAGATAATACATCAAGTAAGTATCAAAAGTAGGAAGCATTAGAAATATAGCTACACCTTGTCTGTTGCAGCTTGTCTTATGATTAAATTTTTCCAATCTTAAAATCAACTCGAAGTAAGTGAACCATTAGTATGTGGCAAGTTTCCTAAGATCCTATTGACAATGTAGATAGAGAGCGTGGTTAATGATGTAATCGTGTAGCTCTGTATTGTGATATTGTAGATAATCACCCAAGTATATGCATGATACTGTTGTTAAGAGATTAAAAGATTTATTTGATGTGTTATGATCATTGTCCTTGTACTTTACTGTACACTATGCCCATCACATATTGAGAGCATAAATTTTATTATACATAAGAATAAATTTTATACAAGACTGAAAATAAAAATTTAAATTCAACTTGTGTTTATCAGAAGCTGAAGCACTTGCTCCAAAGCTTTCACTGCATCACCAAAGCACTAAAACTAAAAAATAGCGCTCGAGACTAACCTTGTTTGGAAACCTCTAACACCTTGGGATTTAGACACTAATTTATTTTATTTTTTAAATCTCGGTGTAGATAGTCCTGTTGATTAAGTTTGAGGTTAAAAAGGAATTTTTTTTGATAATCAGTACTTGTCAATAATGATTTGGAAAAATATAATTAGTACATGTATTTAAACTCTTATTACTCAAGATCTGTAATTTTCCCATGGTGACTTGTTTTCAGGATATTCTAATTCAGCGGTTCCCAACCTCGGGTCGCGACCCAAATCTGGGTCGCAGGGTGTCCTCAGTAGGGTCGCGAGGGGCCTTCAGACAATTTAAAAAATATAGTACTTATCATAGTCAAACAAATTTTTGCTTAACATTGAAGCTATATAATATATATGCCTGAGGGTCATGACACCGTATTGTCCATAATACACCACTTGCAGGGTGATACAGTGCACACAGTGATAGTTCATAGTGTCATCAGTGACTGCGGAAGTTGTAAATAACTTAAAGTGAGCGCTAACTAGCAAGCAAGCTGGAAAGACACCGTGCCAGCTGAAACCAAGTCGAGTTATAGTTGCCACAGAGACTTTAAATTTTATTTTGTTAGTGTGCTTTCTCAAGGACAAACTGTGCCTACAATACTCCATTCACAGGGAGATAAAGTGTATGCAGTCGCAGAAGACAACTCTATAGGCAACAGAGTAGCTAAGTACTGTTCTTATTTTCTTTTTTTTTCTCTACTTTTTTTAAATAGGTGTATTCTACACAGTCTGCAACCCCCCCTCCCCACAACAACAACAACCATGAGCATGATATGTGATTACTGCAGGGAGACGTCAGATATGGAGGATACAGGCCTGACTAATGCAACGTTTAGGACGTTACTAACTGCCGTAAAGTATGATGGCTGTTGCTGGTATTGCCCTGACTGCACAGTCAAGGTGAATGAGGCGATTGTAAGCCATAAGGGAACGAGTTCTCTTGGGACGAAAATAGATGAAGTTGGAGCCCTGCTGGTTGCCAAACTGGAGCAAGTTGGGAAAGAGATCCTTGCTAAGACTGAGGAAGTAGCTGATAGAATGGAGGTGGTTGCTAAGAGGAGTTATGCTGACATATTAGCAGGGCTACGGGAGGGTGCGGGGAGTAATGCAGGATCAGAACAGGTTCTACAGCAGATTGGGACTCTGAAGAAGTGTGTCGAAGAAATGAAGATAAACAGACCTACAGTTAGGGGAGAGGAGGAACACCAGGAACATTTCCAGCGCAGGAACAATGTAATAGTTTTTGGAGTCCCAGAGAGCAAGGTGGAGGGAACTGTGAGTAAGGTAACACACAATAAGATGCTGTTTCAAAATATTTGTGCAGAGGTTTTGAAGATTCCATCAACCCCTCTGGATGTGAGGAGGTTGGACAAAAGCAAGGGATAAGCCTCGTCCCCTCAGGATCACACTAGTGAGCGGGGAAGAGAAATGGCAGGTTATTCGGCAGGCAAAAAACTTAGCAAGGAGCGAGGCATTTCGGGATGTATTCATTCACCCAGATCGCAAGGTAATACAGAGGGAACGGCACAAGAAGCTCCTGCAGGATTTGAAGCAGAAGAGGGAGGAGTCAAGGAAGAACGGGGACGGGTGTACATGGGTTATACTCGGGGAGAATAGTGGAAGCAAGTGTGCCGACACAGGGCCAGGGGGCAGCAGTGCACCCTTCATCTGCTCTAACCCCCACCTGGGAGGCGACACCAGCTCCGCCTACCAGACAGGAGGAGGCGAGCTCCGTGTAAACAATGACATTTTTAATCACACCCTGCAAAATACAGTGTACTTAGCAAATGCTGCAGCTTCTGAGTATGGAGGGGAGGGGGGTTACTACTAAGAGCAGAGACGTTACCGAGAACAAATTCGGGCTTGAATGTCATGCACACTAATACTGACACGTCTCTCGATAAGAGAGAGGAATTTGAAACACTACTGAAGGTATGCCCACCAGATATTGTAGGAGTTGTAGAACTGTTGTTAAAGAACAGGAGAATCGACCCAGAGGAATGTGAGTTCAGTACAGTGAACCCTCACTTTACGCGGTCAATTGAACCCACGGCGGCCCGCGTAAAGCGAGAAACGCGTAAAGTGAACAACATAACATATGGGATTAATTGAAATAGAGACCGGGCCGACCCCTAAACTCCACTTTTTCCCGACACAATACGTACGTTTTAGTAAAAATAACATCTTAACTTTATGATGGTATGCACACACATAATATAGAAGGGACAATCAATAAGAGAATAATATACTGTAGGTTAGGTTAGAAAAAAACAAGGTTAGGGTTAACACTTACGTTAGTAGAAGAGATGGGTCGGCGTACGGGAATGGAGGCTGGTTCCGAGGCAGAGGGCAGGCTACTGGCCCTCAGGTGAGTCTTCATCACTGTCATCCACACTTATTAGTGCCTCCCTGACAAATCCCTCAAAGTCATCATCACTGTCTCTGTCACTATCACTGGCTTGGGCTGGCTGTGGTGGGTTGCGGGCGAAGAACTCGGTAATGCTTTGCTGACGGCTGGTGTTGATGTTGTCGTGATACACCTTGATGTAGGGCTCCATAGTCTGCAACAGCTGGGTAGTGAAGACTTCATACCGGTTATCGTCAGGGTTCGTCGGAAAGGAGGAGCTTGAGTTTCTCAACACACTCGATGGCACCCCTTACATTACTATGCGATAACTTGCGTTCTTCTTGGGATGACGCACCACCTGCCTCTTCACTGACGTCATCATCATCTAGCATCTCGTCGGCAGTCACATCAGGATCCCTTATCACCTCCAGGATGTCGTCGTTGGTGGTCTCGGAGAAGCCTGCAGCTGTAACACTCTGCGCAGCTTCTCTGGCAAGGTCCACTGCTACTGCAACAGTCTGAACCTCACCAGTCACAGATTTACTCTGCCTCCCACCTGGAATACCTTGCAACACATGTCTCCATGCGTGACGAACCGTTGCTACAGACAGCTGATCCCATGCCTCCACCAAGAAGTCCACAGCTTTCTTGACGTTGAATTTTCTCCAAAATTGTTTCACAAGTACTTCTTGCTCTGCCAACTGTTGTTCCTCATCGTCTTCGCTCTTGCTATCGGTGTCACCCAGGTTATGCAACTCATCCTTGGTGTTGGTGTAGTCGTTCAGGAGCTTAAATTTCTTGGCAGAGAATGCAGCTTTCACATTACAGATCAATTCTTGGTCCATGGGCTGTATTATAGACGTAGTATTGGGAGGAAGGAAGACCACTTTTACGTTGGGGTGACGATCTAACAGTAGGGGGCGAGTGTCCTGGTGCGTTGTCAAGCAGCAACAAAATCTTGAATGGAACATTGTGTTGCTCACAGAATTTCTTCACGTCAGGAACGAAACAGTCATCAAACCAGGAGAGGGACAGAGTAGAGAACATCCACGCCTTACGTGCGGTCAGCCAGTGGACATTTAGCTTGGTCATGTCCATGCTCTTGTAGGCGTGCGGCTTGCATGCTGTGTGGATCACCGATAACTTGAGCTTACAGGTACCGGAGGCATTGGTGGTAAACAGGACGGTGATGCGCTCCTTCTGCAACTTCCGGCCCCGACACTTGCTGGCATTCTTCACAACAAAGGTCTTGGAAGGTAGCTTTTTCCAAAAAAGACCAGATTCGTCCATGTTAAACACCTGGTCGTCGGTGTACTGTCCTTCCTCCATAATCTCACGTAAAAACGGAGGAAATTCCCTAGCCGCAACATGGTGAGCACTAGCTTCTTCACCACCAATGTTAATGTTGGTGATCTTGTTCCTCTTCTTAAATCTCTATAACCACCCAGAGGAAGCATTGAAGGGTTTGGGCTCTGCAATTCCCATCTTACGTGACACTGCAGCATACAGTTCACGTGCGTACTCCTTAACTGAGCGCGTGTCCACCGCCATGTTCCATCGCGCCTGACGAATGAAGAAGCTCACAAGTAATTTCTCCGTCTTGAGAAGCACCTGGTTGTGGCAATACTTGATCATAGAAACACCTGTAGACTTTGTGATGTTCATGTGCTCCTTTATCTTGGCTGCACCCTTCTTAATTGTCCGGATCGTAGACTCGTTAACACCATACTGGCGCGCGAGATCAACCTGTCTTGTTCCTTTCTCCAACTCTTGGATGATCTTGTATTTAATTTCGTAGCTTTGGGAACGTCGTATCTTCTTTGGCTTAGGGCAGCAGGGTCCAGGTAATGCAAGGTTTCTTTGTGGGGGTGGTGATGGTCCGGTGGAAGCCATTCTTATGGAACAATGGATACCGAAATACACTGTTTAGCCGGGAGGGGTGTAACTGACGCGGGTAGGTCAAGGGGCTTGCATGCTCCCGCGGCAGGGCACGTCATAGTACATTAAACCAATCACAGCTAGCGGGGAGGGACGTAAGGATGCTTGGCCCAATCACAGTCCGATACGTCATATGACGTCACCGATAACGCAACAAAGACATACACTGCCCAACCTACTAGCGCCGCTTACCCAACATGGCAGGATGGCAGGAGAAGGCGGGAGAGATGACGGGAGGTTTGAATCCAAAAATGACGCAGCGCGAAAGGACCGCCAGCCGCTCTCCGCGTAAAAGGGTACACGCACAGCATAAAGTGAGCATTCAGTGTTCGGCAGGGTACTACGTAAACGTGGAAACGAGTAAAGTGAAACCGCGTAAAGCGGGGTTTTACTGTATTGCAGGATATGACTCATTTACGAACATTTCTCAAGAAACTTGCAAGAGGGGTGTGGTTATCTATGCTAGGCAAGAC